TTCTGGGAGTTGAAGTCCACATGAAGTTCCCCATGCTGGCTGGGGAATTCTGGGAGTTGAAGTCCACGCATCTTCAAGTTGCCAAGGCTGAGAAACACTGTCCTGGAGTTTAAGAAAAGGTAGGTTTGCTCTGTCATAAACTCCTTTTCCACTCTGGATTCTGTTTATATTGCAGCTCCATTGCTTCGTCCTGAAGGAAGGGAGGTACCTCCTTAAAAGTACCTTAAATTGCTCTTAGGAAAGGAAACTGCAAACGCGGTTGCTCATTCTGCAGCATGGAGGGTCCCTGGCTACGTTGGCGCACACATTAACTCATGGGTTACTTACTGGATTAATTTTCTTGGTTTGCAGAGCACGCTGGCTCTGCTCGTATGACAGGCTTCCCCAAATTAAGTGGACCTCGTCTTGGTTAGTGTTCACCTTGGAGAGGTCCTTCTGCAGCCTGGGTGCAAACCCAGCCTGTTGGGTTAACTTATGGTTAATAAGTTGGGCAAACCCCCAAAATGGGTTAATGCAGAATGCAGGTAAGTAGGTGCCGTGAATGCAGCCAGGGAATCATAAGCAAGCCCCAGCAGAGTTGCTGTGCTTTCACACCCATTGAACCATACATTAGCCCAGGGTTTCTCAGCCTTGACCACTTGAAGATGTGTGGACTTCAACTCCCAGAATTCCCCAGCCAGCATTCTGGGAGTTGAAGTCCACATATCTTAAAGTTGCCAAGACTGAGAAACATGCATTAGCCAATAACCTTTTACAATAACCATTTTCAGAACATGGTCTGTGAGGTGTAGTGTGAAGGCAAGATTTTTGGACTGAGCAAATGATGGTTCAGCTGCTCCAGGTTAAGGGCACATGGCTGGTGTGTGAGTCACACACTAGCCAACCACATTTTAGCCTAGCATATCAGGTGAAGCCAGCCACAGTGCGTCTGGAGGAGACTGGGGGTCCTTTGCTCTGCATTTAGATCACCTGACAGAATGCCCCCCCCAGCTGGGGGAGATTAGACCACAATGGGGGAGGATGAAGTCAGTAAATTGCTGATGTTCAGCCCTACAATTATTTATTATACAGGTAGTCTTTGTTTAGTGACGTGAATTGGGACTGACAACTTGGTCATTAAATTAAGCAGTTGCTGAGTGAAACTGTGACTGTGCTTATGATCTGACTTCAGCTTTCCTTTGCTTTACAGACCTGTGAAGGTCATAAATGTGAGACTGGTCACAAAGTTACTTTTTCATCACCGCCATAACTGCAAACGGTCGCTAAATGAGGCAGTTGCTAAATGAGGAGTACCTGTATTTTATTCTCCAAAATCGATGCATTTAACATTAAAACATTGGCTTTGTTTTTGCAAGAACTGCTAACCCCAGAATTTCCACACATAGACGGGAGTCCTCGGGGAGTTCAAAAAAGTCAAGATGTGGCCGCCCCTGGGCAACTGAAGCCCTGCCCCTTTTTACCTGTGTTCCACTTTGATCCTACAGTTGTGGCCCCCATCTTGATTTTTTTAACACTAAGAACACAGACATTCCTGTTGTACCCCCCAGATGATTTCATGGGACATGGGATTCTCCCCCCACCATAAAAGGGCTGATTGGTTGCTTCTACCATGGATGCTCCTTTGAGCTCCACGCGCACTGTGTTCACACGGCACCCTGAACCCAATTCAAGTAAAAGACAGACCTAGCAGCTGCATTCACACAGCACGTTAAGCATGGTTAGGGTTACCCTGGATTACTTTTGCAGTGCTTAATGTGTTGCACCAAACCAGAAAACGCTTTAATTCAAGAGGCAGGTTTAGGATGGGTGCCGTGTCAACCGAGCCGCCTGACTGCTGCCACTGAGAGGGGCTGCCGCGATGGCACGCGAAGCAGGGGGCGGCGGCAGTGGAAGACACGGAGAGGAGGATGAAGGGGCTTTTAAGAGGGGCAGATCTTCTGCATTGGAGGTCCTCACGCAAACATCCTGCTATGTTGGACCAGCATCACCATCCTCACGTGGATTCAGGAAGACGTGCAGGAGGAGCCACACCCCCAAGGCTCAATGGGTCCCCTCACACAAATCCTACATCGGGCAGTGTCAAAGTGCTGTTAATAAAGAAGTCAGCTGGTGTTAACAAGAAAAGAGGCGTGCCCAAACAAGTCAACCAGGATGACGACACAGCCTGCTTTATGCAGTATGCTAGAACAGTGGCCGAGCAGCCCCCTCCAGACCCTGTTTAGCCGCCTCTGGCCGGAGAGGCGAACTGGCCATTGCGCTGAGCGTTCATGCCCAAGGTGAGATGAATGAGCAACCCACGTGGGAAGACCTCCGAAGGCACTTTTCATCGTTGTCTTTTTTTTATTTTTAAGGGTCCTTCCGATTAGGTGACAAAATACCAGCTGGCCTCATTTCCATAGATTTGGTGAGGTTTCAGATTCCACCCGTTTTCATCATGGAGGGATCCAGGAGGGTCCATTTTTTTTCTCTCAGCAGGTGATCAAAGACATTCCACTTTCCCATTTGCAGCTGGAGCACCTGAGCAAACACCTGGTAAAAAGGGGCAGGGCTTTGATCACATGGTCATGGCCACCATCTTGACTTTTTTGACTCCCCTGCAGGAAGGAATCAAAGGATGTCATTTTCTCTCCCTCCCTCACCCTCCCTCTCACCTTTCCAAAAACGGAATCCTTTAACCCAGGGTTTTTCAAACTCGGCAACTTTAAGATGTGTGGACTTCAACTCCCAGAATTC